GATGCGGAGAGCATCAGGCTGGAGAGGTACGAAGACCTCCTGAAGCGTGGCCGCAAGGTGCCTGACAAGAGGCGAAACTGGTACGAGAAGCTTTGCTTCTGGAGCGATGCCACCACCAGGGAGGGCGCCCGAATATTTGTCGTGGCGCCCCGCGGCCCCAAGGGGGAGACGGACATATTCATCGACATGTGGGAGTTGTTGGCTTTCTCTCTGAGCAAGATGCACGACCACGTCGTCAAGGAGTTCAAGCCTTTCGCCATCGTCTGGACCCAGTTCAGTGACCACCGCTTTTGGCCGTGTTCGATGTGGCAAGTGAAGGACTGGTTGCACCCGAGTTATTCCAGAAGCATTGATGCCGTCCACATGGTGCATCCATCGTGGACCATGCGCGCCATGAGCCTTTTTTTGTGGCCAGTCGCAGAAGATGAGTTCTGGAATTACTGCCACATCCACGAACGCATCGAGTTCCTAGCAGAGTTCATTGATCTCAGCGTTTTCCGTTTGCCGAAGGACTTGTACACGTATGATAAGTATTTGGACAAGCAGGCTCAGGAAAATGTCGAGCATACCCAGCAACGCATGGGAAACATGGGTATGGGAATGTTTGGCGCGGGCATTCCAAACGCTCCCCAGACCGAGGAGGAGAAGGAAGCCCACGCTGAGAAGCTTGAGGAGCTGAAGGCGATGCTGTCCAGGAAGGGCTACCAGAAAAAGGAGGACTGAGCACAGGCATCCATGCAGGCTGCGCCATGCTCTTAGGCTAGCATGTCCTCGACCCCCTCTGTCATCTCGTCTCCCCTCTGCATCTCGCCTTGTTCCCCTCTCCCTCTTGGTCGCCGGCTCTCGCGGTGGCCTCTGCGGTCCCCGATTCGTGGCCTCGCAAGAAGTTCTGCTGAACAGCACATGGGCTGGTTGCCTCCAGGGGAGGTCGGGGGCGCTCTGGCGTCCCCCATGTGGGCGCCGCAGGAGAACGGGGTCATTTGCGTGGACATTCGCGCGCAGGTTGCCCGCGTGTGGTCGCGCGCGATCGCCCTCTCTTTCCGCCTGGTGTGCCCACGTTGGCGGGGGCTTCGCGAGCCACAGCGTGAGGTCTTCGTGCCATCCGTCTTACGTGAGACCTCTTCTTCATCGTCGCTCGCGTGTGCTCCCAAAGTCCCAAAGTTCGGTGTCGAGTTTGCGCTCCCCTCGCGCGCGGTTGCCCTTGCCCCCCCCCCCCCCCCGACACGGTGGCGCGCCGACAGGACGGAGTAGACAAATGTTCTAACATTGGTTGTTAGTCATATTCCACCGTCCTGCTCTACCTCGTCTCGTTTCTAGCGCACACGCTGGGGGAGTGATGATGGTAATGCTGAGGATGAGGATGATGATGCTGATAATATTGTGGGTGGTGGTGGTGGTGATTGTGATTGTGGTTGGCGACGATGAAGGTGATCGCTGGACGTATGATCCATGATTCAGTCGCAACATCTTGCAACTCGCCAACGAGGGCTGCCTTTGGCGACCGTGACCTTCGGGTTTCAAGCTTTGCCTGCCTCTGAGGTTACAACCGTGGGCTGGGCCAGCCCCAGCCCCCCCATGCGCCACGAACGAACACAGAGCGGGTCTTACATGAAAGAGCGTCGTGCTACCCAAACGTAAAACTTGTGGCGCTAATGAGCTGACTAGTGTCGTGTTGCCCACAGCTCGCAACACCTCGCTTGGCCCCACGCTGTGGAAGGAAGGATCCGTGCTGCTCAGGGTGTCCAAAGGCGCCGTGCAGCCTCAGATGACGAATCAAGCAGGCACCTGACCTTGGACAGGATCAGAGCAGATGCATGGATTTCTCTTGCAGCATTTCGTCCACCCCTACGTTCCTCGGTTCGCACAGGGCTGCATTCGACGCGCACCGTACGCACAATCTTGTAATCTCCTCCGATCATCACCAGGGCGCGGCACCGCGAGGATCGTGGGGCCACCGGCCACGGCTCGCGCATCACTGCAGCTGGCCACGCCAGCCGCAAAAGCATGATCGACAAAGCCGCACGCGTCGGCCACCTTCACATCCATCGATTGAAGCTGTGGGCACCACTGCTGTCACCGATGCTGTCGCCGCCGCCGGCTCCACCCCTGACCCTCACGATGCCTGTGCTGATGACGCCGCTGACGCCTCCTCTTCCTTTGGACGAACCCATATCCTCAACGATGACACGCACCGACACGCACACACACACACACACACACTTATGTGTACATGTGTGTGTATATGCATGGAGCGTTTCAAAGCGGGCCTTATCTTCGAGGGTCGAAGGAGCTACCGTGTGGCGGAAGTAAAGGATGCGCCCCCAAGAGATGCAAACGTTTTTGGGTTCAGGGTTTCCGTAATCCGCCGCATGTTGGGCGCTGCGGCGGCTACGCGCGCGGCGGCGCGGCGTAGACAGTCGAGGGGGGTGAGCGCGTAGCCGGGCCAGCTCACGCGGCGCAGGGACCAGGACAGGCGCACACACAAACACACGCACACACTCACACTGCTTGTCCACGCCGTTGTGCTACCTCGTGGGCGCGCCGTGATCGTGCTCCAGCTTGGGCTATCAGTCGAAAGCATCGTCCCTGTTAGTCGTACCGCTTGGGCTCCCTACCATTTTTCCATCCGTACCAGTCCCACATATGCTCTTTGCTGTGCCTACGCTTCTTCGCGCGTGGCGCCGGGTCCTCTGGGGCGGCTCATCCTCACTGTTTCTTTGCTATGGTGATCGGTTTTCTTGTCGCGCTCCACTAAGATGCAACCGCGCTGCTCTTTGGTTGGGCCTGGGTTCAAGGAGACCGATGCGGCCCCGCCCTGACAACGCCGCTGCTCCTCGTCCAGCAGCTGCTCGGTCGGCGCTGGAAGCCCCGCCAACACCTCCTTGAGTGTCAACCTCCGCCCCTTTTGGTCGGTGACCGCGCGACCTTCTACTGGGTCATCGCGATGACGCCCGCAGCTGCCGCTTGCTCGGCGTGGCCGGCCGAGCTGTCTGGGGGGCCTCTCCCGCCGCCGCCGCTGAGCTTGCTGCTAGCTGCGACGGCCTGCTTGGAGCTGCTGGCCGTCGCCTGCGTCTCCGCCGCACCCCGCAGCTCCTGACCAGCGCCCTCGGGCGCACCTCTTGGGCGCCGCGTCGTCGGACGGCGGGTGGCGTCCCGACCTCGCAGGGCGAGGCCCCGCGGGCTCGCTGGCGAGGAGCCCCTTCGTCCGACGCGCCGTCCGACCGTGGGGTGGTCCGCCACGTGCGACCTCCTTGCTGCACGCCGCCCTCATCGCGTCCGCGACGAGGCCTGCGGGCAGAGCCGCAGCGGCAGCCGGAGCAGCAGGCGGCGGGTGCGAGGGCCTCTGCCGCCTCCGCCCGTCGGGCCTTCTCGGCCCCGCCTCTGGCGGGGCCTCGTGCCTCCTCCTCTGCCGGGGGCTGCTGCCGCAGTCTCCACTCCGGAGGTCCCAGGAGGGTCTCCAGAGGCCCCCAAGTTTGGGGGTCCCTTTCTTGGGCGACCTAGCACCTCTGCGCCCCCAAAACCTCAGGACACCTTTAAGGTGTCCTGAGGTTTTGGGGGGCGTAGAGGTGCCAGGTCGCCCAAGAAGGGGCCGCAAGCAGAGCACGTCAGGATGCCTCCCTTTGGGCCTCCAGGCCGCCGCCGCGTGGTCGTTGTCCTCGTCGACGTCGTCGCAGTCGTCCTTGTCGTCGCCGTCCTTGCACCTTAATTCTTCCCAGATGCCCGACGATGTTTTTCAATCCGCACGCCCCAGAAATCTCGACCTCTTCCTGGAGGGCCAGCTTTCGGTCCTGGGCCCACGTTTGATGGCCCCCCAGGGATTCGACATCGGCCCTCAGAGGCCGAAGCGAATGAACAGAACCGCCCAGACTGAACAACTCATATCGTCGGGGAGCTGGGGTCGTCGTCCTCCACATTTCGCAGCTGGTGGTCGTGACCGATCAGCATTATTGGTCGCGACCTACCGTTTTCTTTTGTCAACTAGCAGTAACGTCATCTGTAAACATTGGCACTCCGCCTGTTACCCCACTATTTCCATATTTCGTGTAAGTCCTCATCGAATATTGTCGGTAAAGATGCCGCCGTCGTCGTCGTCGTCGCCGTCGTCGTCGTCGGAGGAGGAGGAGGGAGAAGGAGGGAGGAGGAGGGAGGAGCAGGAGGAGGAGGTGGAGATTGAGGAGGAGAATACAGTGATGGTGACATGGGGGGAGCGGATGAGGAGGAGGAGGGGGAGGAGGAAGAGGAGGAGGAGGAGGAGAAGTAGCAGGAGCTCGCCGCCCTCGAAGTCTTCGTCGTCGTCGCCTTCCACCCTCTTGCCCCTCGGGGCTTCCCGCTGCCGCGGCCCCCCCGCGCCGCAGGCCCCCTCCCAGGGCCGCCCGCCCGCCACCGCTGCGGGCCCCGCCGCCAGCAAGGGCGCCGCCGGCCAGCGAGGACTCGCGGCCGGTGGCGCCCGGAGGGCGGCCGGGATTGGTGATGGTGGTGGTGATGATTATGGTGGTGGTGGTGATGGTGGTGGTGGTGGTAGTTGTGGTGGTGATGGTGGTGGTGGTGATGATGATGGTGGTGGTGATGAGGATAGTGGTGGTGGTGGTGGTGCAACGGATAATGATGCTGCTGATGATGATGGTGATGATGACGACGATGAACATGGCGATGCTGATGATGGTCTTGATGGTGATGGTGATGGTGATGGTGATGGATGATGATGGTAATAGTGATGATGGTGATGGTGGTGATGGTGATCCTGATAATGATGATGATAATAATAATGATGATGGTAGTGATGGTGATGGTGATGATGTTGATTGAGGTGGTAATTGTGACGGTCATGGTGTTGATGAAGGTAATCATGTTGTTGATGATGATGATGGTGGTGGTGATGGTGGTGGTGATGATGCTGATGCTGATCAAAAAGCTGATAGAGGTGATGATGCTGCTGATATTGATGATCATGATTACCATTATTACGATGATGATAGTGGTGATGGTGATTGTGTTGGTGATAGTGATAATGGTGCTGGTGATGATCGTAGTGATGATGACGACGATGATGAGGTGGTGGTGATATTGATGGTGATGGTGGTGATCATTGTAATCCTCATGATGATGATGACGATGGCGATGATGGTGATAGCTATGGAGTTGATGATGGTGGTGGTGAGAAAAATAGTGATGGTGGTGATGTTGGTGGTGATAATGATGGTGAGTGATGCTGACGGTGCTCTTGATGATGATTGTGATGACGACTATGGTGACGACGACTATGGTGATGTTGATAAGGATCGTGGGGGTTATGGTGATGGTGATGGTGTTGATGATGATGATGATGATGATCATCAACATGGTGAGAGTGATGATAATGACGATGATGGTGGTGATAATGATGATGATGATGATGATGATGATGATGATGATGATGGTGGCGATGGTGATGGTGATGGTGTTGATGGTGATGGTCATTGTGACGGTGATGGTGGTCATGATGACTATGATGATGTTGATCATGATGGTGATTGTGGTGGTGACGATTATTGTGTTGACAATGCTGATGCTGATGACGAAGCCGAAAGTGATGATGAGGATGGCGGTGATGACGCTGATGGTGGTGTTGATGATGATGATGGTGATGATCATGTTTCTGACGATGGTGATGACGGTGATGATGATGATGATGATGATGATGATGATGATGATGCTGATGATGATGATTAGGATGGTGGCGATGG